GGGGGGGGGGGTGTTTGCGGTCATGTGACTTCTCGGAACGACTATACTAAAGCACACACACAGATGTCTCACTCGTGCACACACAGGCACACACACTTACACAAAAAAAATGGCATGCACATAAACGAACTGAAAATGTTTAATATGAAGTGACATGAATCTAAATAAAAAGATGTCAACAGTACAGTGAACATGAGCATTTACAGATACAGCTTTAAAGAAGCTGTTATTGGATTGTTACACATCATCTGCATACTGCATTGTAGCAGTAACACATGCACTTTAGTGGATGTTTTTAATCTAAAGCACATGACCATTAGTGCATGTTTTAGTGTGGGTGGCCCCCAGGGATTGAGTCTCCAAACCCCACTAGTGTTTGAACCACGCACTACACCATGAGCTGTAGCAAGAGCTGAAAAAAGTAGACTATCATAGTGTGTGTTTATGTAGCTGCACTGATAGCATGACCAGTGTGGGAGTATCAAACAGCTGTCTCTACCATCATAGTAGTTTAGGGAGTGGAAGAGAAATCAAGCACCAACACTTCCACTATTGTTCAGCTACGGTACAGATAGTAACACTCTGTCAAAAAAGTTCCATATGCAAAACCACAGAAACTCAGGATTTGTCATCAATATTGGAAAAGCTGTATTTTGTTTTTTTTCTTCGTCTCTGGGAAGTTGACCAGTGCCAGAAAATGTGTTAAGGTCTGTCTGGTAAACTTTATGTTTTGAAAGTTCCCTGGCCTCATTTTGATAAGTCTATTCTTTATGCCTGGTATTCAGTTAAAACCACACAATCTGGTAGGCAAATGACTGTGACGGGACCTGTGCCTGAAAATCTCCCTTCTTAGTTATAACTGCATATGGCATAATACATGTGAGTGTGTGAAAAGAGAGTTGGTGTATGTGTGTCGCGTGCATTTTCATACACAGGATATCACAAAACCTATACTGTCAAGCCTCAGCGATGAGGAAAGACAACAAACGATGATAGCACCAGCGTTATTTCTGGTAAGTGAGCCCGTGGTGTCCTGTGTGGTGTGAGAACTAGAGCTCTGCACAGCTCAGGTGCTTTCTCTGTTGAAGGATGAAAGAAAGCTGGCACAATGCAGAGCAGGAGGTGGAGACAACAGAGGGGAAGAGAATGTGGAAGTGTTGACTTAAGGCCAGTGGTTGGGACAGCCCTGGATTGGGAAACACTCAAAGACAATTCCTTGTGCACATTCCAGTAAAGTACGACTGTAGCTTATCCCTTTTGTTGAGGTTAGTATGCAGGGAGTTAAAGGGAACACAGTCACTTTTTCATGAGAAAGACAAGTGACCTCAGTGAAAGATAATTGGCTCCATAAGTCCATTTATATTACTGTAAAAGACCAGAGTTTCCCTGGACAAAGAGTGCCAGTCAGACTCTTAATATGCAAGAAAAAAAGCAAATGATATTCTGGAATACGGGTGACATGTTTGCAACTTATGTCTTGTAATTTTCTAGCCTGTCCATGTGGTTTTATACATTTTGAGACATGAGTACAGGGTTCAAAAGAGTTCATGGGAGTCACACTATGCTCAGCTTAATCATCTTGGCTCTATCCTCTGAATTTCACAACATGGTAAATCCAACATACAAACTTTAAAAAATCCCTTAGGGCAACCAAGCACTAGAAAACCATAAACGAAACAAACAAATGCTGGAAAACACACTTAGTCCTTCCCAGCATGTGCATGGCTTTGGCTTGTGGCAAGTACAGGTGGAGAAATTAGGAAGGGTGAATTCCACTGCATAACCATCAGCCGCCTTGACTGTAAGAGTATGCGATAACATGGTGCAAGGCAAGGAGGAAACCAAGGCACTTCCTCTTTCATTCTTTTCCATGTTACTGTTATCAGAGGGGTGAGGCAGGGGAATGTGTTTTACATGCTGTGGCTGACAGGCAAAAGTCCCCAATCGCACTTCAATTCTACATCCATCTTTCAACATGTTACACGGACTCACTCACTAATGGTGACACCCCTTCCATATGTGTTAGAAATAGTACTGAAACATTTTTAAAATCGTTCTGTGGACTGGATGGGCACCACATTTGAAAAAGGAACACAAACCTTATCTTGATCAATATATCAAACTATTGATTAAAATTCTGCATTTGTAAAAGTAATGATAACAGCTGTGTGTGCACGCATCTGTAGTTTGATGGATAGAAAGGCAACATGTTTATTTAAAGTGTGGTTGTTTTACCTGACGGAGGTTGTTGTATATATCAAGGCCTCTGCGAGCCCACAGCAGGAGTTGAATCAGTTTGTAGACGATGCCCAACTCCCCCTGCACCACAGCTATATGGAGAGCTCTGTAATGAATACAAAAAAGACATAAAAACACATAAAAGGTTGCAAAAGACAACTCCATTTCAATGGGTATTTAACTGGGCCAAAGGTTTTCTTGACATTGTGACCCACTGACACTCTACATGTTGGAAATAACTTCTTGGCTAGTAGTAGGAAATGCCTCATCATTGCTTATACTGTATGTATAAGTACATACAAAATCTATTTGACGTGCATTAATCTCCACAATGACATGGCATTTTATTTCAACACTATGTGATGATGTGATTATGAGGATGTGCTGCATGACTGTGGCAGTTTTTGTTCAAGATGTTAAACCCAGTGCAGTACAAATCACTTTCACCGCATGGTAGCTATAAAGTCTACAAGGAATTTTTAACTGGTTATGAAATAGTCTCAATTTAATACTGATGCCTCTATATGACCTATAAAGAAACAATACCATCAGCGACAAGATTGGCTATTTCTATGTAGTTATTCTTAAAGCTTGCCCCAGGCTAGCTTTCCCAGTTTCTGGCTATGAGCTATCAAACTACCACTTTAAATAAATATCGTCTATATCACTCATTTGGGATAAAAAATCACACATTTCTTTAATGACCTTTAAACTTAACCTGTGAAGGACTTCGACCTGATCACTTGATTCTAATTGATCCCACTGACTCAGTTGTACCGACGAGCTCCACAGATGTACCAACATGACTCACACTGACCTTATCACACCCTTATCAAGACTTAAGGGGAAACCACTATCTGTGGTCTCTATGCGAAGCGAAAGAACCAACGCAGGCCGAAGTTTAGGAAAAGGAAGAAAAGAAAGAAAATTGCTGTAGAAAACGGTGCAGCAGTTTTCACATTTTTCTTTTTCATTCTGTCAGAAGAAGCAGCTTCCAGTAAGAGTCAGACTGGTTTTATGTCACTTCCTGTTGTCAGTAACAATGGCAGTATTCTTTATCTCGCTTTGTGTGCTGTGAAATCCAGCCATTAAACTGTATGGTTTCTGACAGGGGCTTTCTGTAGGTTCACTCAGTCAGCTTCATCCAATGGATAAGTCATAATCAGATATACAGTATAACCGTGTGACAGGAAATAGGGACGCTTCTTGAGAATTTAAAACTACCCTTGCACAGAATTTGAGGTCAGAAAATACGTTCTAACAAAGACAAAAGCACTTGCAACACTTCCTCTTTGCAATGTGTCCCATTAACAGGGAGTCATTAATAATGATAATTTCCTGCTTGAAAAAAATATAGATTAATGACGTCTCTGAGGTCAACACCAAATGCTTTGACAAATAGTGTTAAGTTCTACCACTACATTTTCCTGGACATTTTATCAAAATTGATGTGTTGTTCAAGGAAAGGTTCTAGGATGTATGTATGCATATATCTATCTGCCTTATCACAGTATCACATTACTCTAATCATATCTTCCAACCACATAAAAAACAAGCAGTTTACATAATCTCTATATTCACAGTGGAAACATTCAAATTATTCTTTCTTTGACAACTTTGGGCAAGTATGAACAGAATAATGCCTGTGGTCTGTTAAACTGAAGGATAAGCTTGTGCCAACCTTCTCTTGGTGGTTGTAGGAAAAAAACTCTCTACTATGTCTGTGTATATAATTAAATGATTTTCAAACCAACTGCCAAAAAAAATAAATGCTAATCATATGCATGCAATATTCTTGCACATGCATGAGCAAGCATGGACATCTCCACAGTTTGAGTAAAAAGGTGCAAGCGCAGGTTGGAACTGCAACTGCAGTAAAGAATCAGATGATTTGCTCCTGACATCAGAGTGAACAGCAGAAAAAAGCAGAACTGTGTTGGAACGGGAGCAAGCTCTGTGGTTCTTTCCTCAGCTGGTCCCTGTTCCTGTAACTGATCTCAGCACAGTGAACAAATCTGTATCAACAAAGATATATTTATCATATTTACTGTACATGCTCCCAGCCTTTAAAAAGCCCCTGCAGTGCCTTAACAATAAGTCCTACAGTGACTGGAGTGAGCAATCAAGCTACGGTATCCATAGTCAAATTTGGTTACAGGCTGTTCAAGTATTTTGTCACTGGGGAACACTGTTTGATGTCCATATTCTCTGATAAACAGAAAGCCAATGGCCCAGTTTTCAGTGTGAACAACTACTGAATCAGAGCCCATCTCTCTAAGCATGAGTTCAACTACTGTATCAAGTTGCCTTCATATCAGACCTAAATGAGTCTCTCTTGTTATACTCTTCAATTTGTATCCATCTCTCTCTTTTTCTCTTAAGATGAAACTGTACTGTTTCTAGTTCCTGGAAGTGGGGCAGACCACAGCCCCAGATAACCCCAAGCATAGCAGCACTGACGCAGACAGGAGTCCCGAGCTTGCCTCATTAACAGACAGTCCCAGTGTATGTAGAGTAGAGAGAGAGAGAGAGAG